ACTTATACTATATGTAACTAAGCGCAAATACAGATTTATTTTTTTTTTCAGTTAAGTTAGAGTATAAAGGAATGAGAAAATCACTCGCTTCCAAAAAAAACACTACACAACAACATCACAATAAAAACATTTATACATGGATATGACCGAGACAGCAGCACAATGAAAGTGGGCGGGAGACGCGCGGCATGCGGCACTTGGCGGCGACGGATATGATGGAGCGGCGCGCTGCTGATGGAGAAAGAAATCAGAAAAATTATATAGAAATTCGAGTTTCGCGACGACTAATGTGCGCTTTAAACGCTGCGCTCTTACTGCGATTGGAATTGAACTGAGTCGTATTGTAGGCACAGCAGTTGAGTTGAGCGGTACGCGACGGCTTTGGACGGTGATTTGTGGTGTGATGTTTCACGAGAAACCGGTACGATACGAATGCGCGTTTATATATCCAAATCGGTCAGCGTGTTGTCAGCAACTGTCCGCGACGCCGATCAGCGACATGTTGAGTTGGTGGCGCGCATATTCTATGCATGTCGCTGAGCTGTTGTCTGGCTTGTTTGGAGGCCTGGAGCTAAAGCTGGCCGAATAGCCGAAGTTGACAAGTGGCAAAGTGGGCTGCGAGTGCAATGAAGCGGCAAGAGCGAGTAGGCAGGCGCTGATTGAGCGTTGTAAAGATAAACAAGTAAATACTGGTAGAGATATCATACAAGTGCACATATGGACATATGTACATTTACATCTGTATGCCCAGACTATTTAGGCTGTACTGGTGCTCGTAGCAAGCTTGAAACACCGGCTCCAATTCAGGCTCCGCTGAGCGCGACGTCAGCAAGTACGTCATGATTGACATCCACAATATGGATCTTGGAGAGTGTATTCCATTTGGAAGATCTCGCTTTTCGACAATGATCTTTTCACTTATGTTTACATATGTATTTAAATATCGGCACTTGTAAAAGTACGATGTTTTGTTTGCATTGAAATGAAGTTCATGAGAACGGCGTGGCTTTCGCAGACAGGCCTGAACGCTTACTCGTGCGACGATTGCTGCTCCATAGCAGTCTCTAGTTATCCACCCCCATTGTGGTGATGTAAAAATTAATCCTATAAACAATTTAACTGATTATCGCTTCAATGAAGTTGTTGTGTACGTAGTGGCGCATACTGTCACCAAACCAATAATTGCACATGTCTACAACTTGAGTGCACAGGCAGTAACTCGATTGACTTGATCTTCGACTGAAGTAGCATGAGAACATAATATGCAATTCCAACATCAAATTTAAACGGATTTAACAGCCGAGATTCGGCTCAAAGCGTTAGCGCCTGCTTGATGTGTCTAAAGTTATTGAAGTAATGATTCAGCTTTTTTATTTGCTTCTTATTTTACTTTGATTAACGGTATTCTAAAAATAATTTCGGATCAGGAGGACGTCCTCGGATGAACACCTCATCGATTGAGTTCAAAATCGGCGATATTAGGTGCCCTTAAAACTTTGATCCTCTCGGCGTGCATTGAAGTCATCTACGGAGGACCTGATAACAGGTTTTTAAACACACACCATTGTCATCTACGGAACGTGTCACCTTACTTATCCTTACCATCTGCTCAACTTGAAAACGGATGTAGAGTTTGAAATGTTTGCATACAGTCCCCCGACCCTTTATGTGGTTCCGGAAACTTTTGCAACCAATGCACTGATATATATGATATATATTACAGCCACGTCCGGCAAACAACCAACGTCGAAAGAACAGAGCATCATGTCTATATTTTGAAGTGAACAGGGAGAAATACCACATTGAGACTTCTTCTATCATCAGCTTTCACTAAAGAGAGTTGAATGACTTCGTACGTTGTTTTTTTTTTCAAGCCAACGTACAATCAATCGCGAGCTGGCCGCGATTGTGGTAAGCAGAGAAGTTCCCTCCCTTTCAAAAACCGCCTAAACTGTAAACAGGCAAGCCCTCATAAGTTTCTTGAGTGTATAACGATGATTAATTCGAAGAATTTTAAAATCTTTTCGAAGGCATATCGTCATTTTGAGTTTGATTCCGAGATATATTTACATAAATAGGGGTTATTTGGGACATAAGGTTTGATATACATAAGTACATATTTTTTCTTCTTGTTTGGAGCTACAACCGTTAGTCTGTTTGGACCGAGACCAAAAAACGTCGCCAATTGCCTCTCTGCTCTTCGTCGTCCACGCGAGCAGGGCCCTAGGTCTTGCATAGAATAGTTCCCAAAGCCGTTTTAACTTTGTTCGACATCGACCATGTTTCTGGCCATATAGAAGGACGAGCCTGATGAGAGATTTGTAGAGCGTAACTTTTGTTCATCGAGAAAGGGTTCTGCTTTTAAATTGCCTACGGAGTCAAAAGTAGCACCTGTTCGCAAGAGTTATCCTTCGCTTAATGTCTCCAGGCTGACATTGTTGTTGATGTTTACCCTAAGTCCTACGCAGACAAAGTCCTTCACTACTTCGAAGTTATAACTGGCAACAGTTATGTGTGTCGCAACAGGCAATTACATTTTGACACACGCGGAATAGAGACGAGCGGAGCTTCCTCTGTAGAAGAGTTAGAATGATCGTCTCGTTCGAGACGCAGCCTGAATTCGCCTGTAGGTAGCAGTGTCCTAGAAGGGATATTCCTTATCATTTGAATTAATGAAATCCAAGTACCGCAGACGATGTAACGATGAGCTGTATGAGCTTTACAATGACATGGACTTAGTGCATGTCCTCCGAAAGTATTCAACTCGGAACCTGCTGATGGTAGCAGAGGAAAATACAGGCCCCACTGCGATGGAAAACCCAAGTGGAGAGGGACTTGGTTTCTTTTGAGTTTCTTTCGACATTTCCGATTGGAGTCAGTTGGCATAGAAGAGAAACGACTTGCGGCCAAAATCGCGTCGATTAGCGGTTTACAGCGGTTGAGGCAAACAAGAAGAAGAGCCCTGCTTATATATAATTCCTAGCTTCCTTTTATGCTTTGAAGGTTCCTATTCGCCGTTGATTACTTTGATGCAGGCATATATTAATATTGATCGGACTATTGGCATATACTGTGTGTATCCAGTATACTTTCTTCCGAACCAGATACAGAGACATTTATATCTGTCGTCTTTTTGCAAGTGAAAGCAACTTTTCTACTAGGAGCGGTGAAGGGACTCCACCCTGTGAATTTCCCCAGAATAACACACCGCGGGCCGGTAGTTGGTAAATTAGTAAGAATAAGACCCGAGGTCTGGATATTGCAGTTGCATCTCAACTCCAACTTATCCACGCTCCACCCCGACATATCAAATATATGTCCGGCTTGTGAATGTTGCCCCCGCGATACCAACCACAGCTTCACCTGCCCAATTACACTCACTCAGCTAACACCCCCTAAATTCTACGTTCTAATAACATATCGAGATTGAGACGATCAAATGGTCTGTGGTGCGTAGTTGGGTAAATTTGGTAAACAAATATTATTAAATACGAAGATTGACGCTGCATATGACACTGAAGATCAAATATGATATATTTATTACCTGACTGCAGAATTTTCCGCTCTTTCTGAATTTGAGATAAAAAAGGGGGTTACCAGTTAAAAAAAAAAACATGTACACCTCCAGATGACCTCGAGATTGACCCTCACATTATTTTGCCACTCGGCATGGAAAGCTTGTGTTTTATAATAAATTTTTCATATTTTTAAAAAAGTTTGAGCTTGAGTACATTGGAGACACATTTTTAGTAAAATTTCTACACACAAATACGTTTCCGATATCGTTTGATATTTTTATGGACCGATATTAAATAAATAAAATATGAAATGTATGCATTTTGCTTGTAACCTGGTTCAATTCATACATACATATGTATGTGTTTCAATAGACATTGCAAATCATAATTATCTACTGTAATCATATATCAATTGAAAGACATATGTATTGTTAATATTATTCATGTTTATTGTTTATTTATTGTTCAAATACAGACTCCCTGAGGAAGGCAGGAAAAAGCGCTGAAACGCATAGGAGGGAAAAGGAAAACTTATTTTCGCTTTTTATTTCAAGTAAGTATCGAAAAATTTTACAGAAATATGGCCCACCAAATCAATAGTTTCATAATTGTATTTTATTTTCAATAAATTTGTTTTCAACTATGTAAATCAAAATGATTGGACACAAATGTACATGCATTAAGGAAAGAAGGCATTTAATGCAAATTGAAATTTTTTGCTATTTTTTCTGCTGCTGAGGCGCTTGCCGGGTTCTCCTTAAAAGTATTTAGAATATCGGTAAGGACTGTAAAATAAAAGAAATGATATTTGCGTTATAAACATGAATACAAAATATTATTTCCAGTGTAAAAAATTGGACCTAAAAGAAGCGCTTACTTACGTTTCTTCTCATCGGCAGACATAAGTAGCGATAAAATGGTGACTTGATTATTTTTACTGATTTCTAGGAGGGTGGCAGCGGCTGTTTCATCCTTATTTGATAAGTAAAAGTCGCGAAGAGTATGAAGAATGTCCGTAAGAGTATCAGAATCAAAACCCGCACCAAGTATTTTGCGTATTTGCGATACATTAATGCTCTGTAAATGGCAAAAAAAAAAATGAATAAAATTTTTTGTATAAATGAAAACATGTTTTTAAATTTAACCATCTCTAAATCGTATTTATTACCTTTAAGTAATAATACTTTTGGGCAGGCGCCAATTCTTTCCAGTTAGGATAAAATTGCGCTGTGGACGTTGGAGGTGGCGGCAAGGGGCGCTAGAAGAATAAAAACTTTTTTTTAATCAATGCAAACACGAATTTAACTAGTAAAAAGAGAAAAATAAAATAAAATAAATTAGCAAAAATAAAATAATATACATGAAACAATTTTAACACTCTCACATTGTCTGCAATTTCGTTTGTCTTTCAAGCCCTCCAAACAAAATTCGAAACACTGAATACAAACACACGCATGTTAATTTAGAGACGGTTTATTAAGTTTTTCAGCCGCTACAACACAAAAATCTTCACCCTTAAACAACCCAATTGGATAAAGCTACAGACTGCCTTAGTTTTCGACAAAATTTGTAAATAATGATAATAACTTTGATGACTATTACAAATAAAGTTTGTGCTTTAAAGGACATTTATGCAACTACAGATTCACACTTAATTAGACAAAATATCTAATTTAATTTTCTATAACTATATTTAGGCGTTCAGTAGCAATTGTTTAATTTTTATTAACTAAAAATAAATTTTTTGTTTGGCACGACTATATACTTTTTGGTAAGATACCCATAAACCAATTAGTACTACATACTACATATTTTTGGTAAACATTCAAATAATAATATTAATAATAAATTCTTTGTGTTAAAGACGTGTTTTTTCAAGAGTCTTTGTCTCGTTTGAACAAATTTTTGCTACTTTGTTTAATGGCATCAAAAAATCTTATAAATAAAGCAATTACCGCCCAGAGGAAAGAAAATAATGCGCTTACATTAGCATTCAGCCGGAGCACATCCGTTCCAGACGTCGTGCACGACTTGTCCGCCTCTCCGGTTGATGAGGTTGTCTGGCTTTCTTCGCGTTCTTGCTTTTCAGTAGTTTGATTAGAAAGAGGGTACACTTCGTCTAATCGCCTAGATTTTTCTCCTCCTTTCGCTTCGGGTTTTCCAGCGTTTTTACGTTCCGTTGTATTATTGGATTTCTTGACCTCAACAAATGGACCACAGTTGCTATTAAATAATTTGTCTATATCTTCATCCGAGATTTTCAAATTTGAATTCTCACAACTTTTTGTATCTTTGGGGCCCACAACATCTGCTATGGGCACACGACGAAGAGGCTTGGTTGAGCGTTTGTAAGGTGGTTTATCGATAGGCAAAATATCTATTATGTTGTCACTGGTTGCGCTGAAGTTTGGACCTTTTGCTGATTTTACTAAAACAAATAACCAATTAAATAATATAAATGAAAACAGCGATAGTCCTTTTGTTACATACAACTTTTTCGTAATCTTTCATTGATGCGTTCCAAACTTTTATTTGCTTCACTATTCTTGGGTTCGATCATTAGAACAGTGGTACAATCTTTAAGTGCATCCATATTGTTGCCTAGACACTCATTGGCTTGCATGCGTCGATAGTAGGCTTTAACGCATAAGCTATCGATTTCAATGGCCCGGTCACAATCTTCAATGCAATCATTATATCTGACGGAAGAAAATGTCTAAATTATAGCGGCTATGGTCGCTTTTTACATAGAGAACTAACCTCTCTAATTTTAGATAGCAAAGCGCACGATTACTATAAAACACCGCGTCCTCTGGGAATATATCAATCGCGGTAGAGTACTCATAAATGGCCTTCTCATATTCGCCAAGCTTAACCAACGTATTTCCTTTGTTTTTCACTTCATTAGCTTGTTTGCGCTTTTCTTCGTTGTGGTCCAGGGGATTCTCTTTTTTCTCTGTGGGAGTAGAAGCTGAAATTGTGCGAGATGAGATATGATGACAGTTTCAAAACTTTTGTAATTATTTTACCACCGCTGGAGCTCGTCGGATAAATTTCTGCGTCCTTAACAACAGTAGCTAATTTAGATGGTTGCTGCTGCGGTTTATTCGTTTGAGTTTGCTGCTTTTCCGAAAGGATGTGACTACGTACAGGCACATTTTCCCGCTGGGGTATGAATGACATTATTTAGCTATATTTTAACTAGAATATTAGAGATCTACCTCTTCTTTTTCCGTGAATACAGGACGTCGTGTGAGCTCTTTTTCCTTGGCCTTCATTTCCTGCTCCCAGCTATAGAGATCATTAAGCGTGTTACGCACCTCCTCTGCATTATGACGCACTTGCAATTGAATTTCATGAGTTTTTTTAACTGCATCCATAGTAGTTTTATGAATTGTTAATATATTTGGTAGTTTTTAAGCGGGTTCTTTCTTTTTTTGACTGAAATCGTGCTAGAAATAAATGAATTTGCTTTGTTTTCTTGCTGGTTCAATAAAAATGAACTGTCATGTCATGTTGATGCTGCTTCTTTCTGCTGCTACAGAGAACGTCAATTTATACTTTACGTTCTCTGTCTATACTTTACGTTCTATGATTACATCGATAGATGGCGCAACAACAAATTTTTTGCATTGTGGAGTTCGTGCTAGAATATCACACATAGATGTCGCGTACACTGTTTTCAGCGAAGTTGTGTGGACAATTCAACTACCGGAAACAGTACCGTTACTAAAATTTAGGGTCGGATATGCAGTGTTTTAATGGTGCAGTCAGAGCAGAGAACGTTTATAAATGCGCCTTCTCATTTATAAACGTTCCCTGACAAAATTGATTTCTTGGCGTTCATTGTGCTTTAAATGTAAAATATCTCAAAATATAGCTTTACTTCTTTTCATAATAGCAAGTGATTAAAAAATACGCTGCAAAACTTAAATAAGAATTGTTTTCTCTGAAGTGTCCAGTTTAATGGACAAATCCATTGAAAGGGCCAAACCGCCAAACACATTTTAAATAGGGCGCGAAACCAGCATTTAACACTTCCACGTGCAACGTCTCACATAATCGTGTTACTTACAAACATACATACATACATGCATACATGCATACTTATGTACATATGTATGTATGTATGGACATAATTAGGTAGTTGCATACTCCTTTACATTGCACAAGGAGTTGGCGTGCGCGCCCAATTAGAAAATTAATTTACTACTGCAACTGCTGAAAAGTGAAATTAATTATTTGCGGATATCTGAGTATTTACATACACATGTACGTACATATGTCTACAACAATGAAAATAGTATTTGCTTCAATACAATTATTGACAGGTTAATAGATATGTATGTTGGGAAACATGTTGTTCGCTAATATAACGGGTGATTTTTTAAGAGCTTGATAACTTTTTTTTAAAAAAAAAACGCATAAAATTTGCAAAATCTCATCGGTTCTTTATTTGAAACGTTAGATTGGTCCATGACATTTACTTTTTGAAGATAATTTCATTTAAATGTTGACCGCGGCTGTGTCTTAGGTGGTCCATTCGGAAAGTCCAATTTTGGGCAACTTTTTCGAGCATTTCGGCCGGAATAGCCCGAATTTCTTCGGAAATGTTGTCTTCCAAAGCTGGAATAGTTGCTGGCTTATTTCTGTAGACTTTAGACTTGACGTAGCCCCACAAAAAATAGTCTAAAGGCGTCAAATCGCATGATCTTGGTGGCCAACTTACCGGTCCATTTCTTGAGATGAATTGTTCTCCGAAGTTTTCCCTCAAAATGGCCATAGAATCGCGAGCTGTGTGGCATGTAGCGCCATCTTGTTGAAACCACATGTCAACCAAGTTCAGTTCTTCCATTTTTGGCAACAAAAAGTTTGTTAGCATCGAACGATAGCGATCGCCATTCACCGTAACGTTGCGTCCAACAGCATCTTTGAAAAAATACGGTCCAATGATTCCACCAGCGTACAAACCACACCAAACAGTGCATTTTTCGGGATGCATGGGCAGTTCTTGAACGGCTTCTGGTTGCTCTTCACTCCAAATGCGGCAATTTTGCTTATTTACGAAGCCATTCAACCAGAAATGAGCCTCATCGCTGAACAAAATTTGTCGATAAAAAAGCGGATTTTCTGCCAACTTTTCACACATTCAACACATTTCGAACCGAACACTGATTTTGGTAATAAAATTCAATGATTTGCAAGCGTTGCTCGTTAGTAAGTCTATTCATGATGAAATGTCAAAGCATACTGAGCATCTTTCTCTTTGACACCATGTCTGAAATCCCACGTGATCTGTCAAATACTAATGCATGAAAATCCTAACCTCAAAAAAATCACCCGTTATCACTAATTTGGCTATCTATTGCCAAATCTTAAAAATACATAAAAACATTCTTATATTTTTGTATTAATTAATATTGTTTATGTATGTATGTGCGCGTGTACTCACGTTTTAGCGTTTAAAGTCGAATACTTTTCACCCATGTACCGTAAAAGTGCTAATCACCGCAGGCGAAAATACGTCATCGCAAGAAACCAAATGCTTTTTTGGCCACATTCAGTAGCTGCGAGTAGTTGCAGTCCGTCCGTCCGTCAACAGGATGCACCTTGTTCAAGCACATTTTCTATATACATACATACATATTTACGTACCTTTTATGGAAACCGGGAAAAATTTTGGAGAACCAGACACTTTTGAATATTTATGAAATATGTGTATATGTGTATGAAAATACATAAATTAATGTACATATGCAAAACAAATATTTAAAATGGAAACGAAACAACCCTTTGAGAAACTTTGCGACTAAAAAACTACAACAACCGGACCGTTATGAAATATGTAGAGCCACTCATGATATTAATTCATGTTTGCCAAAGTTATAAATAACAAAAAAAAAATTTAACTTTATTTTATACACATACATATGTAGCACATATTGTGTGCATAAATATGTGCAAAGAATGAAAAAATAAAATAAAACTAA